CGCTTCTCCCGAGACGCGAGGAGTAGAGGGGAGGGAGTCGCCCCCGGGCGCCCGCGGCCCCCGCCCCGCGCGCAGCCGGCCCGTTAGCTCCCTAACTCCCACCTCAGTCCGGCCCGGGTGAGGCGGCCACCCGATGCCTGGCCCTGGGGAAGGGCCGGCGCGACTCCGGGGCCCGCGGGCGGCGGAGCCTCGGCCGCCCGGCGGGCTCCTGGCCGAGGGAGAGCCTGACACCCGAGTAGGGACGGCTCCAGAGTAAACGCTTCCTGGGAGCCGTTGGCGCGGACGCAGGAGAGGGAGTCGCCGGGGCAACCCAGCCCACTCTAGGGCCGCTTCCAGCTCCGCACAGACCTGCCGCCCGTCTCCTCCTGCCGCCCGCGGGGCGGGGCGGGGCGGTCCCGGGGTGCGGCGCCCAGCGCTCCGTGGGTAAAGGGGCGTTTTCGGGAGCCAGCCTGGTGCTTTATAAATCTCCCTGTGCGTCTCCAATTCTGAGGCTTCACTTGAGGGAGATCTTACCTATTAGCTGGAGGTACAGTATACCCAACGAATTAGTTATCGATCACTATTTCATAAGACTCCAGTCACTGCTGAATATTGAAAATGGACTTGTCAGCCCTCTTTTCTAGAAGTTATTGGCTGGGCTCAATAACACACTCTTAGTATAGTGGTCATGAATTTATCACTTTTCAGCAGTTCTAAATGGCCAAATGCACAAATAGAAATGTGATGTTGTGTGAATCATTTCATTCCAAAAAGAGCACACTTCCTGTAGGCTAGTCTGATAAAAGGAAGAATAATATCAAACTTTCCTGAAAAGAAGACGTTGTTACCCTTGCCTAACTAATTCTGCTTATTACCATTTGAGGGCTTGAGAGAACAGTGGCCCAGAATCAGACATAGGCTCCAGTGGACTATTGTAATAAAATTCTACTGTAATATTAAACTTTAAAATATACCTAATTTAAGGAATCTTAATACTTTGACTTTTAGTGGGTAAATGTTGGGGCAGCGATGCAAACCTCCAACTAACATTTTTCTCTGCCCTCTTCCTGTCCCTAAGTTAAATAATGGCGGAGACAAGTCTGTTAGAGGCTGGGGCCTCTGCAGCATCCACAGCTGCAGCTCTGGAGAACTTACAGGTGGAGGCGAGTTGCTCTGTGTGCCTGGAGTATCTGAAGGAGCCTGTCATCATTGAGTGTGGGCATAACTTCTGCAAAGCTTGCATCACCCGCTGGTGGGAGGACCTAGAGAGGGACTTTCCTTGTCCTGTCTGTCGAAAGACCTCCCGCTACCGCAGTCTCCGGCCTAATCGTCAACTAGGCAGTATGGTGGAAATTGCCAAGCAGCTCCAGGCTGTCAAGCGGAAGATCCGGGATGAGAGCCTTTGCCCCCAGCACCATGAGGCCCTCAGCCTCTTCTGCTATGAGGACCAGGAGGCTGTATGTCTGATATGTGCAATTTCCCATACCCATCGGGCCCACAACGTTGCGCCACTGGATGATGCCACACAGGAGTACAAGGTGGGGAGCCAGACACATGATGTCAGCGTGGGGCAAAAGGGAGGAACACAGAGGAGGGGGCCTCCCTGGGTAGAGGATGGTAAGCTCCTGCCAGCAAGACTGTATCTGGTTGTCACTCTGTAGTCCCCTCACAGCTCCATACATGGGGAGACACAGTACATCTGACCAGTCATCTTCAAGCATGAAGAAGAGCAATGGCGAGGAGTACCCTAGAATTTCTGACCTAACACATTTGATTACAAGTGGTCTTGGATGTAACATATTTTTCATAAATGAATAAGACCACGTGGAGAAGATCAACGTTAGCAAGAACTGAAAAGTGATCTGGTTTTCTCTTTCTGTCCCCTCTGCTCAGAGCATCCCTTCTCTTCCCATTGGTATTGGAAATAGTGTCATTTCACTTTAGACTAATCGCCACCAGACAGAGCTGAACCTGACTGTTTTTGCATCTTCCCCTGATAATGGATAACATGACATCTGGTTAAAATTATTGTTGGGACACAGGGTAAATGTTTGAATAACAAACTAGAGATTTTAATGCCTTAGCACTTTATTAAGTATTTTGCTTAATTATGTTAATAAAATCTTGGAAACAAGATGTAAGGTATTTTATAAGTAAGATTTTATTATATTTGCAGGTGGTTAGAGTTGGATGGGAATACAAGTTTAAAGAAGGACATCAGAGTCCAGAAGGACTGTCAAAGTGTTGACAATAATAGGCAGTTACTTAAGTTAGAAGATGGATAGAGTTGGTGACTGCTGGACCACTGAGATTCACTGAGAGGAAAATTTGGTGAGGAAGGAAGGTGATAGAGACAGGCTCGTGGCAGGAAGAGAGACTAGTAAGAAGTTAACATTGCAAATAACAGGCAAGGAAGAGAGTTGGATCAGGAGGTGGTGAGATGGGTAGGATGCAAACAAATGGTTTAAAACAAATGGGTTAACCTCTATGTAGGCTGTGCCAGCCAACACCAGATGACACCTCTCCCACTTCTCATCCCTCAGGAAAAACTGCAGAAGTGCCTGGAGCCCCTGGAGCAGAAGCTACAGGAGATCACCCGTTGTAAGACCTCTGAGGAGAAGAAACCAGGAGAGCTCAAGGTAAAGGCAGGCAATCCCATCCTGGCTGCACTGCAGGCAATTAACCAAACATTAACCACACATTATTTAATCCACCAGTTCTGATTCATTAGAAAAATGCTGAACTCAGAAATGATACTATTTTCTTAGGCTTGATTGTTATTAAACATTGTACTTAAATTACTGTCATAAATTAAGTATTGAGAAGGATGGAATAGGGGAAGGAGAGACAATGTCTGACATCTGGTAAGCTGAGGGAGTTTGTGCCTTTGGTCTCTTTGTACAGCAGGGAAGGAGGCTGCTCTGCTGAGAGTGCAGAGATAGGAGTTTCTTAGAGTAGTTGCGGAGAGGAGAATTTGGAAGGTTCCCTGGGAAGGAAGGGAGAAGGAACTGACCAAGAGCTCCCAGAAGAACTGCCCAATGACATTAGGACCACATTCTCTGAACTCAAGCAAGCTCAAGAATGCAGGGTGATTTTCCTAGAATGTTCTTTCCTTCTCCATCCTCTACCAGTAGGATCCTATCCATCCTTCAGGCAGCGTGAAAGCCACTTTCTATGCAGCTTTTCTTAACCCTTCAGAAATTAGCTTTCTTAATTTTCATACACTTTTGCATCTCTTTGAGAGCATTACCATATCTATAGCATGGTGTTTTGGTATCTGCCTTATTTCTTCTAATGGTCAGTGAACAAGTATTAATAGTAGCAGTAATAATAACTGGTATTTATTGAATTTTGTGCATTAATTCATTGGGTGTTCATGACATTCCAAGCTTACAGAATTGTGTTAGGTCTTAGGGTTCTGCCCTGGTTGGAATTCTGAGTTCAGCCTGCACTTGGCAAAGTGGGGCATAGAGAAGCCAGAAGACAAAGGGAAGGAAGTCCTAGAGGTCGTCTTTGGCAAATGTGAACTTAGTTCCTTTGTAAGGTAGGTGTTATTACCCCAAGATTACACAGAACTTGGATAGTCCAAGTCTAGTCCAAGATCCTACAACCAGTTTGTAGCAAAACCAGGGATACTAGTTCTGCATGAATGAATAAATATTTATTAAGCTCCCAGTATAGGTCAGACCACGTATTTGACACTGGGGAACAGTGATGAGCAAAAACAGCCCTTGCCCGCCTTGAGCTTACAGTCAAATAGACAAAATAAAGAATGACATGGCATAAAAAGCATAGATGCAAGTTCATGAGAGGACAACATAGAAACCTGACCTCATTAAAGGATTCCAGAAGAAATAATGAGCTTTTGATTATCAGAAATTAAACACATATTTGAAAGTAGAAACACTAATTTTTTTAACAATGGCATTTCAACAGAAAGCAAGTATTGTTATTTTGGTCCTTTATACATTTTAACAAAGTAAACATTTGAATTTTTTTGTTTTGTTTTTAAGCCTCACCCGAGGGTATTTTTTCCATTGATTTTTAGAGAGAGTGAAAGGGAGGGAGGGGGGGAGAAAAAAAGAGAGAGAGAAACATCATTGTAGAGAGAGACATATGGATTGGTTGCCTCCTGCACGCACCCCAAACGGGACTGGGATTGAACCTGCAACCCAGGTGTGTGCCCTTGACCCTTCAGTGTGTGGGCCAATGCTCTAACCACTCAACCACACCAGCAGGGCTGAATTTTTTTTTTAATTGAACTAATTTTGACTGCAAAATTGGATTTAAAAAAAAAAGTTCTCCAAATATAGTATAATATAATACAACAAAAAGAAAAGTAATCTGTGCCCAGCTGGTGGCTCACTGGTTGAGTGCCAACCAAGGAACCAAGAGGTCAAGATTTGATTCCCCATCAGGGCACATGCCCAGGTTGCCTCCTTGATGCCCAGTAGGGGGAGTGCAGGAGGCATCTGATGGATGATGTTTCTTTCTCATTGATGTTTCTCTCCCTCCCCCTTCCTCTCTCTAAAATCAATAAAAAAAGAAAAGTAATTTGTAGTAAACTCTGCTGTGTAATATTTGTAGATGACTACCCTGAAAGACACTGCAGTATAGTTTTATGCTTGCACCTACATGTGCCATCATCAACAATGCAACAAATACAAATCCAGACTGAGGTAATTGTGTAGTCGTGTTGACTCAAATACCACAAGCAGCTTAGCTCCTGTTGACTTATTTTTCAAAATGATAAATAACTTTTGGTAAAGTTCTAAGAAAACCAAAATACAATCTTATTCAGCTATTCCTGAAAAATTCAAGTATATTAAAAGTGTATAAGAATTGCTCTGTTTATAAGTAAAATAGTACTCAAGTTCAGGCCTATGCTTTTGAATATCCAGCAGAACATTAGAAAATGGTGCAGGACAGTTCATCTTGCAGGGCTGTCTCACATTGGAGGAGCACCCCCAATCATGACAAACAAGAAAATGCCCCCCCTTCCAAAATATCCCTAGAGGGAGGTAACACCCTCCTTAAGAACCACTTTACTACAAATACAGAGTGAAAAAAGAGAAGGGATTTGGGGGTTATATGAGGGAAAGCCATTTTGCTTCCTGTTTATCACAGTTACAGATCCTCAATTCCACTCATCCACCACCTAAACACATACACAGGTTGTGCTTTATGTAAGGGTATGTGTTGTGGGAATGTATTTTGTTCCAAGGTGGGCCTGAGAGGGCTGCAGTGAAAAGGGAGCAGCGGTCTCTCCTGGCAACTAACTTGAAATGCAGAAACAGCTGGCTTGTGAGGCCCACCCCAGCTCTGGGGCCCACTCTGTTCACCCCAGCCTTGCCTTTCAGTCCCTAGCCACTTCCTCCTTCCTTGGGTCCAGTCTCTGCTTCTCACTTTGCTCCCCACTTCGATTGATTCCTCCCTATCAGCCACATGACACTTGGAGGAGCCTTCTTTGAGGAGATGACTTCTTGTTGCAGTGGAAGTGCTGAGGGAGGAAGTGCTTGCTGATAACCCTCAGAAATGGGTTATGGCTAGTGTTTGAGTCCTGTATTATCAAACTTCAGGAATGTGAGAGGTTCACGTCTATGTGCTGGCTGAGAGAAAGTGTGTCAAATTTCAAGCAACTCATTTAGTAAGAAACTTTGGAACCTGTTCCTTGGGTGGCAACTATCAATTCTCAGAAATGACCTGAAACTATTTCAGGTTCAGCCCTGAAATCTACTTTATATTTTTAACAACCCATTACTAAAATCTTACTGATTCTGATAGTTTTCCAGTCGGTTCTATCTGGTAATGTTTTTATCAGGTAGATATCTTGCCGCATACCAATGATGACAGTCGTATCCAGTATTTGTACTTTCTTGTCTCAACAAATTACAATAGCTAGAACTTTATCATCAGATATTTCAGACATTTGTTATATCTAAAGTAGTTTGTCATTATATTATTGTGTTCTTATGTCTTGAATTATTTTTCCTAAAACATAAAATCATAGTTTTTTAGAAGTTAATATAATTAAAGAAAATTAAAACTTTTTTAAACATTGATTTTTATCTCCCCAATGGTCTTTACTCCCAAAGTCATCAGAGGAACAGAGCCATTCTTTATAGAAGGAAATTACAGTGGAGAGGAACATGAGTGTCCTATTCAACTATTTTTCATGACACTGGAATCTGTGTTAATTCATACACATGCTGCACTGGCCCTGCTACACATAACACCCTCCCTCTTTTCTTAGAGACTAGTGGAGAGTCGCCGACAGCAGATCTTAAAGGAATTTGAAGAGCTTCATAGGCGGCTGGATGAAGAGCAGCAGATGTTGCTTTCACGACTGGAGGAGGAGGAACAGGACATTCTGCAGCGCCTCCGAGAAAATGCTGCTCACCTTGGAGACAAACGCCGGGACCTGGCCCACTTGGCTGCCGAGGTGGAGGGCAAGTGCTTACAGTCAGGCTTCGAGATGCTTAAGGTTCGACCTTTGCCCCTGCGTAGCCCCTCAGGTCGGGCACAGTATAGCTTTGCACATTCCCTTCTGTCAGCCCGGGATGCTCACTCCTCTGCTCTGCTTCTTTAAACCCAGTTCTTTCTTCTAGATATACTCAAAGGATCTATTTCTTCAGAAAAGCTTCTCTGATTTCTCCCATTTCCTTCTAGTCATTTCTGTGTTCTTATGTCTTGTCAACAATTATGTGCTTAATTTGTACCAAAGAAAAAATCCACTCTTTTGAAAGGAGGAAAGTCTAGTCTGAATTCGTGAAAAAACTATGCTTTAAAAGGTGTGTAAATGCAGTTATCACTACTTTTAAGTCCTGGAACTTGATTTACCTAGTGCTAAAAAAGAATAGAAACCTAGGTTGAAGGACACTTGAAATTATGTGTAAAAAATACATTGTTTTTGATATGTAAATGCCTCTGAAATGTTTGAAATCATTTGTTCTCTTAACCAGATGCATGGTGTTAGCAGGCTGTAGGAAACATGTTTCTTACCTTAGCAATCAGACCACCAGCGTTTGAGTCAGTGAGGCGCCGTTGTACATTGATCTGCATGCTGATGTGTTTATTCTTATGTCCTTTCATGTATGTGTGTTCTGCCTTCCACATTAAACTGGGAAATCCTGGGGGGCAGAGATCTATCTTCTTTGTCTTCTGGACCCCAAGTATTCGCAAATCAGGATTGGCACACAGTTGTTAATGTTTATTAACAATACCGGGAGGGGGATGCCAAACCATAGTGGGAAGTATGACCTGTTCCTATACCACCAGTCTGGAGCTATCTGTACTGATCCTCGAGGAGACAGGTGTGTGGTTGGTACTTGGGGGACAGAGTAAAGAGCAGACACAATCCCTGCACCCTGCATTGAGCTCCCAGTGTCCTTGAGGAACAAAGACAAACATACAAGAAACCATTTGGAAGGGATATAAATTGCCAAACTTTATGATGACCAGAAGTTGAAAGTGGGGATGAGGTTAGGAGAGAGGTCCTCGGAGCTCTTCTCCTCACACTGTGACCCTCAGTTTGCCCTATTCCTATTTTAGAGATCTAAAACTTTTGGGAGGAGGGGGATCCTTTTGCCTGTAGGACCCTTGACTACCAGGACCAATATTGCTTTCTTTTCTCCTTCCCTCTAGGATGTCAAAAGTACCCTGGAAAAGTAAGTGATTCCTGCAACTCTTTAAGTGAGTTAGATCTTGGCTTAGAGACTTGGGGTACAGTAAGGAGTTGGAGGAATAAGAAGGAAAGGTCATGAGGCTTCTTGGTAGGGTATGGGGAAAGGGTTATTACACCCATGAAGCCAGGTAGGGAGCAGATCACTGGGAATAGTAGCCCCTTACCTTTTCCCTTTGCGCATCAGGACTTCCCTGTTAAGGAAGATACCAAGGTAATGTGGAACCAGGTTCTACCTGTGCCTGTGTGTGGAACTGTGTCCAAAGAAGATGGAAGGAGGAAGGGCTCGGGAGGGGGGAGAGTAATTGCCCATTTGCATGAAATATAACAAATATCCCCAGAAAGCTCTGAGACATTGTTAAGGATTTGTCCAGGGGACAAATCTCCATAGATTGGCAAAAGAAAGCCGCATGCAAGTGCTTGTCCTCAGCGAGGAGGGAGCAAGTGGGAGGACGGGACTCCCCTGACCCTGCCCTTTCTTCCCCTATCTCCCTGTCCCTCCTAGATGTGAAAAGGTGAAGACCATGGAGGTGACTTCCGTGTCCATTCAGCTTGAAAAGAACTTCAGCAGTTTCCCCCGACAGTACTTTGCCCTAAGGAAAATCCTTAAACAGCTAATTGGTGAGTTGTTCCCAAAAGGAAAGTAGCAGAGGGAATCAGCAGAGAGCAGAAAGTCTTTTGGTCCTATTTTATCTGGGCTTCAGGTACCCCATCTGTCACTTTCCCTGCCCATACCCACACCCACCCTTTTGCCTGGCTTTCGGTCACTCTGAGTCACAGAACTCACAGTGAAAAGCTACAGGTAACATCTACTCTTAGGCCCACGCTTTTCTGAATAGGGACCCAGAAAGTTTTAAAAATTTGCCTAAAATTGGTGCATTCCCAAGAGTAAAAGGGAATGTCATTAATTTTTATTCAGAGAAAATAGTCATAAACCAGGACTGTTCCAAGAAAACAGGTATCAGGCAGGCCACCCTAACCCTAGACCCTGATGGTGTCTTCTCTGTATCCTTCTTAACATACGTTTTCCATTCTTTCTGGCCCTTGGACTGTGTGTTGCTTCTCTGCACAGTGAGATAGATGATGATGTCAGGGGCCATGGAGGGAGGACCAGGCAGGAGGAGCCTAAGCCACCAGCCCTTGCAAAAGGCTAGGGCAGGATGAGAAGTGAAGCCAATGTTCCCTCCCCTCCCTTAGGTGACACCATGGATGGAGAAAATTAACCAAACCATGGTGTTCTGGGGACGTTTGAGGAAACAAGCTCTGTAAGGCAGGCTGGAAGAGTGAGGCAGGGGCGTTGAGCTGTTCCCATCCTCATCTAGCTCCCCACTCTGGCTTCTCCCGCCAGCGGATGTGACCTTGGACCCTGAGACTGCTCATCCTAACCTAGTCCTGTCGGAAGATCGGAAGAGTGTCAAGTTTGTGGAGACAAGACTCCGGGATCTACCTGACACACCACGGCGTTTCACCTTCTACCCTTGCGTCCTGGCTACTGAGGGTTTCACCTCAGGTCGACACTACTGGGAGGTGGAGGTGGGCGACAAGACCCACTGGGCAGTAGGGGTGTGCCGGGACTCTGTGAGCCGAAAGGGCGAGCTGACCCCACTGCCTGAGACTGGCTACTGGCGGGTGCGACTGTGGAACGGGGACAAATATGCAGCCACCACCACGCCTTTTACTCCTTTGCACATCAAAGTGAAACCCAAGCGGGTGGGCATATTTCTAGACTATGAGGCCGGCACACTGTCTTTTTACAATGTCACAGACCGCTCCCATATCTACACCTTCACTGATACTTTTACTGAGAAACTGTGGCCCCTCTTCTACCCAGGCATCCGGGCTGGAAGGAAGAATGCTGCACCACTTACCATCAGGCCCCCAACAGATTGGGAGTGACAGGTAGGGACGTGGGAATACCTGGGATGAGGCAGGATCGAGAGCTATGGGCCTTCCTTCCTGTGACCTGCTGGAACGTCTTCGTGTCTGCCTGGTTCCGCTACTGAACCATCTGGGAGAAACACCTTGGTTTCTAGAATGGTTTATGTGGAAGAGTAGGTAGGACTGGTCTGGAGTAAGAGCACAACCATGTCTCCTAACTGTCCTGTGGGGAGCAAGTTCCCAGGGTATTCTCCTGGAGCCCATCAGGTTTTCTATTGCACAGGACAGGTTGGGAAGGAAGGAGAGGCTTTTCCAGAAACAAAAAGTCTGTGGGAGGGTAAGACATGATCAAACCAGAGAAGGAAACGGAAGCCCCTGTACATTCTTTTTGGGGGTTCTTTGACCCAGAATAGTTGTTTCTTTAGGAAGAGCACAGGGGTATGTAACCTCTAGACTGAAATAAAAATGAATGGCAGTTGCTCTCCTGGGTCTAGAAGTTAAGGAGTTTTTTTGAGGGCAGAGATTGGGCATCTAGAAGGTTAGAAAGAACAGGGAAGGGGGCTAAAGGAACAGATCCCTAGAGACTAATGAAGGGGAGAGGGGTTTCTTTGGTCTTCTATTCCCAGAGTAAGGTTGCCATTGTGAGTTGGATTGGCCAGAGGTAGCAATGTGGGGAGGAGAGGGTGAGAAGGAAGAAGAGAACCCAGGTCCCTGTCTCAGCCTTCAGCAGAGCTGGCTTATTGCCTGCCTCCTTATAGTTGATCATCTACAAGAAGTCGGTCACCTTGCTCTTCAGGGACCAGGTGCCAGAGATCCTGCAAGACAGTCTACCCTTTTACTGCTTTCCCAAGGGAACTTGGGAAGGGGAGAGTCTGGTATTAGAGGGAAGAGAAAAGTATTTCTATCCAAAGCTCTGGCCTTAAGGAATGTTACTTAATAGTTACTCCCAAGTTGTCAGCCTTATTGCCTGGCTAAGGTGTCCAAGCCAGAAAGGGAGAAAGGAAATGGAGTCTTCCTCACCCTGAGGACAGGGTAGAAGAGGGTGGTGTGTGTAGGGAAGGACCAGATGGGCAACTTCCTTGTGCCTGTGTGCATCTGGACTGGAACTAGTGTTTTCAAGAGTCAGTCTTTTGTTTGTTTGCTGCCATCCTTCACCGTTTGCCATTTCCTCTATCAGAGAATGTAAGTCATTTAATGTTAGGCCAAAATAACCTGTAGGGTACATGTTGTCAAAAAAGGTAAAGCGATGCATGCCAAACCAAACTGAAGTGACTTGGACTATCTGCTGCTCCAGTAATGGGGTTCACAGAAGGTTGGGACAAGAAACTGCAGTCTAGTGAGGGCATTTCAGTTCCTCCTACCACCTCAACAGGACTTTGTCCAGACTCTCCTCTTACCTTTGTGCCTTGACTGTGGTTCTTTGTGGCAAGATGCTTTGGTTGGTAAAACAATATGGAACAAAGGATCCACTGAAGTGATCTCTGTGTTGTGTGGTAATTTGACGACCACCGCTGTTGATGTGTAAGAATCATGGGTGTTAAAAGTGCATGGGCTCACCCTGAGTGCTTGATCAAGGTCTGTGGGCCTGGGTATCTACATTTTAAGCATACTCCTTTCATCTGAGTCTGGGGACACTTCCTCTGAGCTGGAGGCCTGGTCCCCTACCCAGACTGAAGGGGTTTGAGGGCAGAGAGGCCTCACCCTCCCTTGACTTAGGCTGCCCTCTCCCTATCTCAGATTCATCCATCTCCTGCCCCTCCAACTCACATTCCTCTACTCTGACCTCAGGAATTGGTGGTCATTAACTGTGAAGCAGAGGTGAAAACAGGATGCCAAACAGGACAAATGGGAGGCAGGTCAGAGGGAGGGATTGTGATCCATGTCTGTCTGTGTTGGGGGTAGCGTGTGGTTTCAGGGGCAGGAAATGCTGTTGTCAGGTTTCTGTGCTCCAGAACCTAAGACTAGGAGTTAGGGATGCCACCTCCTGTGTTTAACTGCGTAATAGGAAATGTGTGTGTTTGGTTAAGTGGAAAAGCTCTGTGCTGAGGGCCCAGAACCCTGTACCTTCCCTCCACCACCTTCATGATGCTTTCCAGTTTCACTCCCACTGGCACCAGTGATTTTTTGAATGTATAATCTCTGTTCCTTCTATCTGTAGATCTTCTAGGCATCCACCTTTGGCTTCAGAGAGTAGGGCAGAAGGTCTTTCTGGGTGTAAACTGCAGGGAACCATTTCCCCCACGTAGCTGCATAGAGACTGGTCTTCTGTCCTGAAAATGTACAGCAGTTTGCGATCCTCTCCTGTTCCACCAGCTTTCCCAGTCTCCTAGTATAACTGATCGTGGGCTTAAAGAAGACTAGGAGGAAGCCAGGACTCATAAAGGGACCCTAGCTTAGAAGGCAATTCAAACTGATGGGTCTGTGAGGCCGCTGGGTGGCGCCCCGCGGGCCGGGAACTACACTTCCCAGGAGGCCTTGCGCTGACGTCTGGACGGGCGTATCCGAGGGGCGGGGCCTAAGGCCGGCGGGTTCCGGGCGTTTGCGGGACCCGGATGGCGGGGCCGGTGAAGGACCGCGAGGCCTTCCAGAGGCTCAGTTTCCTATACCAGGTGAGCCCACGCAGGGGGCGCTCGGGACGGGGGCCTGGTGCCACTGGCCCCCGCGTGACCGACCCTCTCTTAGGCCGCCCACTGCGTCCTCGCGCAGGACCCCGAGAACCAGGCGCTGGCGAGGTTCTACTGCCACACCGAGAGGACCGTCGCCCGGCGGCTGGTCCTGCGGCGGTGAGTGGGGACGGGCGAGGGCGGGACGGCGAGCGG